ACCTTTAATACTTTTTACTCATTGTCACAATCTTAACTTTAAGACTTGTTATTGGAACAAAGTATGATTGTCTTCTTGATTTGACCATTTCATCAATCTTTGATTCCTCTTCTTGGACATACAATTGTACCAAGACTCACTTAGAGGATCAATTGAGATATGGTTCTTAATCATTAAGACCTATCATAAAGCATAAAAGCCACTCTCCCTTCTTCTTAGAATGGAGAAACTCTTATCTTTCTGCCTATTTGATTCTTCTTATTCGTTTTGCTATTGATCTAAACCCTTTAATCAATTCAAAATTACACTTAATCTTGTAAGTATAATCATATTTACTAAACCTTTAGTAAATGATGACGAATATCTTTGTTACTCTTATGGTGAACTTGATCAACACACAACTTTGTGTACTCGATCTCCTAGTCCTTCACTTGACACTTTGTCAACGAATTAGTCTAATTATCAAATATGAAATTTCTCATTCATCATGCAACCAAGTTGCATGATTCCAAGTTTCTGTCCAATTGAAACTTGGGCGATGAGAAACTCTCCCTATTTGGTAAATTCTTGACTTTCCATAACACAATAAGAAACAAATCCATTATTGCTAATAATTTTAACATCAATTTTTCATACACGCCATTGTAAGGATAAATAAATAAAATTTAAAATCAAAATTTATTTTATTGCGGAAAAATTTGTCCTTCACAATGCAACTCATTGAAAAACTTATGCGAATACATCTTTCTTAGCAATCTAATTCTAACTCTAAGTAGTAGCTCAAGAATCTAATCTTCGAGAAACGCAATCGAAATCCATTCCTTCACGGTTAGATTCTGCTCACTTCTTCCCTTAAGCTTCTTTTCTTTTCTTTGATCCTTCTAAACATCAATTGTAATCTTATCACATTATGTATTCAGAACCTAGAATGAAGCTTAAAAGAGTTAGTCAATGGATTTTACCTAAATTAGAGCCATACGTTTCGACTCTCCCATCTCTTAGATCTCTTAGGTAAATAGGGCAGCTTCGTCTCCAATGCCCCTTCTCTTGGCAATAAAAGCAAATTGACTCTTTTTGGAACAACACATGGAACTACTTCAGACATCGCCTTTCTCTTATGATCAAACTTTTCGATCATTGCATGTCTTTCATTGCCATTGTCTATATCCACAGAGGTCTCGAAGGCAGATTCACCAATCAACTTTGCTTTTCTATTGCGCCAAACCATTGCTGATTCAGCAGCAATAAGCATATAGGTGAGATCTATAAGGGTCACGTCGCGGTTCATCATATAGTACTCTCTTACGAACTCACTATATGAGTTAGGAAGTGATTGAAGAACCCAATCAACAGCCATCTCTTCACCGACAATGGATCCTATCATTCTTAGTCTATCAATGTGCGACTTCATCCCTAGGACGTGTGCACACACCGACTTTCCTTCTTTATGTTTACTTGCCAAAAGGGCTTGAGTGATATTGAACTTTTCAATTTTACAATCTTGTGGGTTAGGGAGAATAATTGGAGGAGGAGGAGGAAGTGAAGCATGATTTCTTGTTCCTCGATCGAATCGTGGAATATCATCTTCATGTGGAATGCTTGTTCCACGGGATTTGAGAAGACCATAGTTGTCGAACTTTGACATCGGGAGAAAAACGAATTCAAGTTAGTTGATTGATTGAGTCCTTGGTAAATCACCCAAATGAAATTCCAAGGCTAGGACCCAACACAATATCCTACAACTCGGGAGAGGGATGCCGTAACCCAAATGCAGAACATTTGAAGGTAAGTGAATGACGATTCACTAATTTCCACCATGAAAAACGAAAAAGAAATTTAAGTTTTAAATCTATGAAAACTCCTAGATCCTTTGAGATTCATTGAACATTTCAATGGCATGTTTAAATCTCGATATGCCCCTCTTGTTTGTGACTGGGATGCCGAGGATCACAAAGCGGGTGTGAATAACCATGCAAACTACATGGTGCCCTCACATGTTACAATCACCTATTCGATGTGCCGGTAAACCACACACGCTCCACCGAACTATGACAAACATTGAGTCACCCTTTGCTACCTTTGCTTAGAACCATTTAGTGTGCCGGTAAACCACACACGCTCCACTAACGTCTTCGCAAGGGCACAAAGTGTAATTTCATGGAATTGCATCAATTCACTTTTGCCTAAGTAACTAAGATTGGGAATTTGCGAAACATTTAGTTACTCTGTATTTCATTATACTTATAATGGAAGGTTTCGTCCTATCCTACCCGTTCGGCTAACGACCCTCCACTAGTCAAGAGTGCGGTGGGTAAGAGTGGATACCCATTCAATCGCCATTTTATAGGCAATTTCCTTAAACACCCCTTATAGACCAGCTTCGTGAATGAGGCCTACTAACGGTAAGACTGACTTTTACTTATACATATATATAATGTTAGACTTTTAATGTTATATATAGTATAGGGTGTATTTATACTTTTAAAATACTATATGGTTAACTTTAACAATTACACTTTTAATTCAATTAAAAGGTTAACCTAAACTTTTATGGATTTATTAAACCTCTTTTAATTATACTCCTTAATTAATTAATAAAACCATAAGGGTGTGATTTGAACTTTTCAAAACATACAGAGTTTTAGAATTTAACATTTCTAATTAACCTTTTAATCAACTTTAAATTCCAAAATTGAGCAAGTTTTGAAACATTTCAAACATAGGGTTTAGAATTTAAAATGCATCAAAATTAAATTCAATCAAATTTAAAACTTGAGGGCAAGTTTTGAAACTTTTTCAAAACATTAGGGTTTTAACTATTTAAATTTCAAAACAACAAAACTTTTGGGGTTCAAATTTAAACTATAAAACCTAAAGGGATAAATTGAAACTATTTCACAAGATAATTCAAATCTAAATTACAAATAATCAAACTTTATCTAATAAAACAAGTGATTATCTAAATTTTGACAATTATCTTCTATTTAGGTAAGGATAATCACATAATAATGAAAAAATTCGGATTTTATCACAAAAACGAGTTTATGGTAATTATCCAAAACCAAAACAGGAAGAAAATCGCGAAAACGAGCTGTCAGACACTTTGACTCGTCGAGTCTGGGCTTGGACTCGTCGAGTCAGCTGACTCGGCGAGTTCACCAAGTGACTCGGCGAGTCAAACCTTCAAAACTCAAAAAAATCGATTTTCAGTGCTTATTACGATCAAATATGCATCAATACAATTGAAACCAATCAGGCTCTGATACCACTGATGGGTTTTGGTCATAAGACATCCTATGTGCTCATACAAACCCTAATGCTTGGATCTAGGTTTCTCTATTGTACATGCTTTGAATCCAAGACTATAAACCCTAATTCTAGCATGCAAGTAATCATATTAACATGTAATTAGGTTTAAGTTACCTTGATTGTTATGTAGCAATAACAATCCCAAATCTCCTTGTATTGACTTTGGAATGCTTAGAGTCACAAGTGTCACTCCTCTAATGGCTACAAACACCATAAGCAAGTGGAGAAGGTATAAGGAGAGAAGTGAGAGGTTAGAATTCGTATCTAGGACCTCTTGGGAAGGGATACACGAATTCATGGCCCTAGGGGTGTTTATATAGGTGTAGAGATAGGGTTTCAGTCATTATCCTTATCTAGTTGATTATCCATTAAGCAACCAATAAGATAATCCTTGAATCCTTATCATACTCGAATTCTAAGGGATTTACACCTCAAATTCGTTCACCATATATATAAGATAATCCTTACCTTATTTTGTAACTATCACATAATTACAATTCAGCCCCTCTAGTTTAATTAATTACATTTGATCACAAAACTAATTCTTAATTAATTATTGACCAATATTAATTAAACAAATATGATTTCTCCTTTAATATGTTATTCTTATAACATATTAATAAATCATATTATCCTCTCTCTCTTTATTCATTTCTCCAATCAAGTTGCTTTGGTGAAGGCAACCCAAAAGGACCATGCACCATCGGGTCAAGTACATACCAAAATAGTTATGGACTTAGACACTAATCCAACAGATAATACCTATAGCCTTATGAAGAGATTAAGGTGCTGTTTGTTTTTTTGGAAAAAACCTCTTCAAACCTCTTACTGCTGCGTGGCGCAGCACACGCGCAACACTTTTCATCTCGCAGCTGTTTGTTTTTTAGAAGTCTTCTGAGTCAAAAACCTCTGCGCAGGCTCTGTTTGGCGCAACACTTGTACTGCCTCTTCTAACTTTTTCCAACCTCTTCTTCTTCTTCTTTTATTGCTGAAATTTTGATTATATGTTATTAAAACTTTATTTCACATTTTATTTCCGTTTTTTTTTTCGTTTATTCTTATTGAATTTATTTTTCATTTTTTTTATATTCAATAATGATAATTTCTTGATGAAACATCATTATTTTTTACTAAAATATTTTTATTTTTTGTTGAAATATCATTCTTTTTTACTGAAATATCATTAATTTTTACCGAAATGTTATACATTATTAAATTTTACGTATTAAAAAGCTATTTTCGGTTTATAAAATTAGTTTATTTTAATTTTTTAATATCTGCAGCAGTATGCAGACGTTAAAAAAACAAACACGCTTCTTATTATAGTCTGCAGCCGTTTGATCCACCTCTTCTACTGCAAAGTGTTGCAGAGATGATCCACAGACTTCATGAATTTTTGCTTCAGAATATCAAACATCACCAAAATCATCGTTGACTGAACGTTTTGGAAACGATGAAACAAACGGCATCGATTAATGGCTACACAATAACGATCTACAACCACCTACACCGCATAATTATCACTTCAACAAAACCCAGTTCCCCTAAAGTCATCGTCGAAAGCTCCACCGTTGCTCTTCAGCACCGCCCTCGCTTCGATCGGACCTAACCTTTTCCGACGATCAAGATATATACCCACGGACGGAGAAAGAGGTGAACGGAGGAATTCATCGCGGAAAAGCTGAGAGAGAATGTCGCTAACGAGTGTAAAGATGTCGGAGGATGTGTGGTTAACATGTCTCACTCATGCATTATCCACCGAGACTGAAGAAATCATGGGGCTTCTTCTCGGCGATATTCAGGTCATACCTTTGCATCGTGTCTTTCTCTTTCTTAACTTTTAGCTATTTACAACTGCTTTTAGGGTTTTTTAGCTTATCAATACATTTTGTCCGCTCCAGAGCTATTGCCATTGCTTTCTGTGAATAAAATCGTAATCTCATCGACAACGTCTGTGTAATTCCGTCTATTTCTTCGAAACTCTTCATGTGCAAGCGGCATAGTTTCATCTTTGCTAAACCCGTTGTTAACTATTCTTCTTCATATGTATATGATTAGGACCATGAATTATGTTTCTCACAGTCTACCTGATTTGATTTCCTTACCAAATCGGAGTAATTTGTCACTGTGTTTAGTTGTTAATTCTACAGATGAATCTGTTCCATCTTTTTTCCTAACATAGAAATGAAAACTAGTTCACCTAGTTGCCGAAGCTTGTTGTTCAGTGCTGTTTAACCTCTTTTTGCTCATTGATCTTTGTTGTTGAAATAAGATGTTGCAAGTTATGCCTATAATTTGGTGTCTATAGCTATCAGATCTTGATTGAATGATCCTTAATTGGTTATCTTACAAAATCGCAATTTCAGCACTCCAAAAATGGAAGTGTAACTGCCCTAATTTGGGGAGCATTGCCACAACCAAGATGTGATAGGCAGAAGGATAGGGTTGAGACAAATCCTGAGCAGCTGACAGCTGCATCAGTTCAGGCTGAGATATCCTTTATATGTATTAAACTATCAATATAACAATTTTCCATATAAACATATTGTTATCCTTTTACACTACAACTATTTTAAGATCATATTGATTAAAAAATATTTGTATTTGTTGAATTAACTCTACAACACAAAATGACTCTGGAAACTGGAAGAACAACAAGAGTGATTGGCTGGTATCATTCACATCCACATATCACAGTCCTTCCTTCTCATGTTGGTAAGTTTTCATATACAGTGAAATATGATGTCTAAAAAAAAGGTACTTTACAGTTTAATGTCTTCCTTTTTCTTACTCTAAAACTCTAAATCAAGACATATCATTTTGTCCATTTCCTTTTCAGATGTTCGGACTCAAGCCATGTATCAACTTCTAGATTCTGGTTTCATAGGATTGATTTTTTCATGTTTCAATGAAGATCAATACAAGGTTCTAATCTTAACTAATCTTTTTTGCATATATAATTTCCTTTACAATAACTGTGTATAGAAGTTAGATAAAACAAACCTTTGAAATTTTATTAAGTGTCTTGATTCAGGTTGGAAGAATACAAGTTACAGCATTCCAGTCATTAGATGGAAAGCAAAACCATGTATTGAAACCTCATTTCAGTCCTATAAATAAAAGTTCCATTATAGATCTAGAATCTTCCATAAGTTCCACAGAGAATTCACTCACACACTCTGGCTCAACACGTGTAGAATCTCTAGAGTATGACACTGGTGACTCAAAAGCTTTAAAGGTATATATTCAATTTGCTTATTAATAGAATCAGGGAATGAATTCTTTCTCTAATTTTGAGGTATACAGGGTGGAGCAAAACCATCTGCTTTGAAGGGTTTCTTTGCAAATGCAGATACTGTGAACACAGAAAGTGGAATAGTTGATATTGACCCCATGGATATGTCTGAAAGCATGCAAGAAGCAATGCATCGTTCAAATATGGAAATGAGGTAATATCCAAAAATGTCTTATTATTATTTCATGTGCATAACAGAATTTAAAAAAAAAAAAAAAAATTTAATTGTTGCAGTGGTGCAGAGTATGTGAGAAAAGAAGTTCCTCTTCATGTTTTGCCAACTTTGTCTCTTCTGAATCTTGAATCGCCTTTAACATCTTTTAGTCATTTACAATCTGTGTTATATGAAGAGGAGCGAACAGCATATCATCAAGCAATATTACAAATTATGAGGTACATATAAATATAATATATATGATTATTTTTATTATTATATAAACATAAACATGTTCTTTTATTGAATATAGAATGATTTATTTGATGTAGGGATGGAAAAGCCCATCCGCTTTCTTTCATCCATCATACTTCCACTTATCAAGCTTCCATCTGCAAATTAATGGAATATTGGTGAGAAATTATAACCCTTTTTTCTATTTTTTTTTTTTAATAAATATTCTTGGCTTATGGCACTAAACTTAAATTTGCAGCTTAAGCCCTGCTATAAC